GGACAGAGGCTCTTTCTGCTGGAGACATGCGCAGTAGAGCCAAGTGACAGTGGTACAGGAGGAACAGGAGCAGCAGATACTCACACACAAGACTAGAACCTCTCCACACTTCACTGAAACATTTTAATATATAAGTCACAGGAAACACCCAAACCATGAAAAAAAAGTGCGACTTAGTCTGAAAAATACGTTAACAGCCACTCTTCCAGCTGTTTGCCCCAGGGCAGCTGTGGCTACATCATGACACGTTTAATGTTTCACAGACAAACAGTAGTAAAAAACTCTCTCTTTGTCTTCACAGGGAATGGAGCCTGAAACTCGCTTCTGAACAAACTACTACAAAACTGTACATATATTTTTATTATTATTATTATTGACTTGTTATAACGTCCGTAGAGTTTCATGGAGAATGTAAGAAGATTTTTTTAGATATGTTTTTATAGAGATTTTGTAGAAGAATCATGTGCAATATATTAAATTGAGTTCATTTTATGAGACTGGAAATAAATAAAACTTTTGTCATGTTATAAAAGTTTCTCTTTGCTCTCACGTGGTATTTGTGGAATAGAAGTTATAAATAATTTGGGCTGTTGCTATGGCGATTTAACGCTCTGGCTTCACTGAGGAGATTTTTGCCCATTTTTGATATTTTTTTATTTGTTAATCTCTACTGAACTAAAGGTAAAAAGAGCTGTTCACTTGAAAACTACCGCCTCATGACATCACAAAGTGGAACAGAGCATTTGGAGACTTTGGAAATGTAGACAGATTAAAAATAAAGAGTGACTCAAACGTGTGTGAATGAAACAAAATACAACTCTAGGTCTGTTTTTGAGGAGGGAACAGAGTTATAACGTGTCTTAAATCTTAAGGATGAATTTTGTGTATTATTGGACCTTTAAATGAATGTAGCATATATAAATATCCACTGTGACCAGGGTTTTCCTCTAACAGAAGGAGTTATAATAATGAGTTGTTGTAAACAGGAGAAGTGCAGTGATCAACTGTGACCTGTTTTGAACACTGACAGTGTAAAACCAACACATGCATGAGAAGGACAGAATGTTGTCGATAAAAGCATAATAAAAAGGTTATCACGATGTTTTTACTAACATCAAAAGACCAGGGCCAATGGAAGTCATTTTTAACATGTGCTGCTATGAAAAAGTTTTTTTTTTTAAACCTTAGCCTATAGGCCTATTTAAAATCTGTTTTAAATATAAATAAATAGATTGAAATTCAACATTTTATTGACATATACACTTTAATGTAGTCTAATTAATAATATAAAACAATATAAGAACGCAGTGTCTGACAATTTAAGAAAATTTAAAAAGAAAAAAATCTCCCCCTCACCACTAGGGGGTTTTACAGCACCCCCAGCAACCCCGCGGACACGGGCTGGTTTGGTGATCTTCTGGGCAAAATACACAACACAGCGGTTCATTCCACCAATGATGTTTATGTCGAGGGCGGGATTTGAACCATCAACCTTTGGATCAGTGGACAAACACTCTTGAGCTACTGCCGCCCTGAAAACATATAACATATATATTTTTAACAAATATACTATAACATACGTACTATATATATATATATATATATATATATATATTATATATATATATATATATATATATATATATATATATATATATATATATATATATATATATATATACACACTACAACATATGTAATATAACATAGATCACGGGGGTCAAACTCAAATTCACAGAGGGACAAAGTCGTGGGCCAAACTAAATATTTATAGAAAAATGAAAACATCTGCATGTTTTCTCTTCTTTCGAGATCTGTAATGTTAAACCTTTTCTTATTAAATAAATGTTTAATAATAGTTTTGCTTAAACAGTGAATCCAGAACAAGTTGAATATAAAATAACACCATTTTAAATAAATAATGTCTCTATAGTCGATCTGTAGCAGCTCTGATACAGATTTGATATGAACTCACGGGCCAAATATAATTATGTCATGAATCAAATTTGGCCCCCAGGCCTGGTACATGTGATCTGAGTTCAAACACGTCCCTGCTGCCTAGTCGGCTTCTCAAAGTCAAACATTAACCTCTCTTATGTGAGCAAAGGTGAATGATCGGACTTTGACAACACGTTTTTCAACACGTCAAGGGACACTGAGTGAACAACGTCTGTATTTGCATGGTGAATTAACATGGTTAAAATCAAACGGTAACAACAAAGAGAAGAATTCTTCCAAAGGACTTCAAGAACTTTCTACCTCTACTTTTGTAAGTATATCCAGGGTCGGACTGGGAACTAAATTTGGCCCTGGTATTTTACCTCAATTTCAACTGTGGGACGTTTTGTGGGGGAAAAGTTCAGGGCGATTTCATTTGGCCACAAAAACATCATCTCACGTTCAGGGCTGTGGATAATTATTAGTTTTGTGATGCTGTAGGTCTTTACCATCTTTACATCTTATTCATGGACATGCTTTGTATGGTACAGTGTTTTTTTTTTACTTGTAATAATTTGTACCGTCCTGCTGCATTTAGATTTTTTCAAATCTTTTAAAAAGGGTAGAAATGATTGATTCATGACCCTCATGCTGTTGTGTTGTTAAGCAGGACCAGTATGGCAAGCCAAACTGTTCACATTTACACCCATTTTTAACACGTTAACACCTTTTTTGATGTGTATTATAAGATTATTTAATTTGTCGTGATAAACTGTTATTTGACGTGTCAAATGATTCTACATATGATAATGATCTCCTCCCACTGATTTTCCCAGTCAGTGAAAAGAGTCCAGAATAATCCAACACCGATCTCCCTCTGCACATTCTTTACTCTAATGTCCCTTTTACTGGAGCTGCTCCACCTGCAGACCACAGCCAAGTACAGGAGCCTCCACAGACTGGGACAAGATCAAACTACAAGTTGTAGAAGATACAACCTGCACTCCTGATTTTACAAAGGCTCCTTTAGTCATGATTGTTTCAGTGGTGCATGGAAAGGACCAGATCTGCTCTGTCTCACTGCACTGGAGTCTGTTGAGATTTTCATTGTCCCACTACAGCATCAGGCTGATCTGTGATGGTCTATCCACAGCCCCAGAGACTCCAGCGGTGAACATGTGATACAGTCATGTTCATTCAATGAAAAAATGATAATTCAACAGAAATAAACAGGTTTATTCAAACATGTGATACAGTCATGTGGCCTTCCATGAAAATCTGTGAAAAAAATGCGAATTTGCTCGTTTGTGACATTCTTTAAACATAAACAGGTTTATTCAAATCTAACAGCTCAACATGTAAAAGAATCACTCTCCATTCCTCGTCTTATTGTGCCATCTACTGGGCAAAAAGTGCAATAACATAAACTGAAGCAGCGCAGGCTGAGTTCATGTGTTTATTTTCTCTTTTGACATTTGTTTACGGACAGTTAAATAATCAGTTGTTTAATGATCGACAGACTGAAAAGATAAATCCGTTGAGGTGGATGAGACTGTTTTAAATTTGATAGACGACAACTGACACAGTGTAAGGTTTATTTTGTAAGAGAACAGAATGTGCACAGGGACATCAGTGTTGTTGTTCTGGACTCTTTGTCTTTGTCAGTGATTGGCTGAAAACACTTTAAATTCACTGACTGAGAAAATCAGTGGGAGGATCATTATCATATGTATAATTATAAATCTTATTTGTTGCGTGAAATAACATTTCGACATGTTAAACGAGGTGTTAACGTGTTAAAAATAGGTGTAAATGTGAACAGTTTGGCTTGTCATAGACCAGTGTCGTGCACAGACAGACACCAGGTGCTGCTAAATCACCTGCCCCTTTGCCCTCTGTACAAAAAATGCCCTTTTGAAAGTTTGTTTTTTATTATTTTTTTTTTCACAGTGTACTGTGGTCCATGTTGACATCATCATCTAGAAATGCTGGATGATTAAAAGTGTGTGATCATAAAGCCCCGATGCTGCTCCCCCTCCCCACACACAAAAACTATGTCAATCATTTGTGCTTCATTTGTGCTGCAAAAAGTTTTGTTTGTGCTGCTTTAGTTTTGGAGATATTAGTATCTACACCAGGACCAGACCAAGACTAGACCAGGACCAGACCAAGACTAGACCAGGACCAGACCAAGACTAGACCAGGACTAGACCAGGACTAGACCAGGACTGGACCAGGACTGGACCAGGACTGGACCATGACTGATCCAGTGTCATTAGTGCAGTATAAATATAAAAACGCCGCAGTCGCCAAGTTGATCTCCTCTGCTGATGGTTTCATGTAATAAAAACACTAAAGTTTCTCTCAGTCTGGTCCATCGTTAAGGGAAAAGACCAGAACCGGACACTTGTATCCCGGGAAACAGACGCGCGTCAAGTATTTTTCTCCCGTTCGTCCACGGCGTCCAAGACACCGGGGCTTCTGAACTCCAATGCAAAGGCGTCCAAATAGAGGCGTTTAGGGCGTTTTTTTTTTACACTATTACACACTATAATAAGGCAGCCGATAGTTCCACATGGTCACAAAGTGTCCTTATTTTTCACTGAGCACCTGCCCCCCGAAATGTCTGTGCACCTCACTGAGCAGGACACAAGTTAGAACACATCTGTGGTCACCTCTGTGTCTCATCACCTCAGGAAGCCTGAATGAACTCTGTGTGACTGTTCTGTTCATCGTTATTATGTTAATGTTACTCCACTGTAGTGTGCGATAGTCTTTCCATTTCTCACTCATCTTAAATGATTCATGCAACTTAACGTAACTTACTTGTAGAACACTAGGGTTGGGCGGTAATACAGTATTACGGTAACAGGCAGTATCAAAAAGTAGCAAAGGGATCAGTTTCATTACCATCATAAAAAAATCTGCAGCACATAAAGACCTAATATAATATTATAATTTATTGATACCTAAATGTGTTTGCTCAGCACAAATGAATGTTTGTATTTTCAGTTTAATGTTTCACGATTTAAAACTAATAGTGTCTAAAATGTTTCTTTTAACTGTGTGGGGAGACGACGTTCGATTAGTTTGTTTCATTGTCATGTGACGCTCATGAGGGACGACCAAGACAAGACGACAAGTCCAGCCACAAGACAGTTGGTCCTCCCCCAAAAAAGTACTAATACTTCTGCAATTTGGCAGCATTTTGGCTTCAGGCCACATTTGTTTATGTTTTACAGAAACAAAACTTAAAACCACATGACTCATTTGAATAAACTATAAGAGCTGATAAAAACAGCTCTTTCCTTGTGGCACTGATGCGGTTCAGCTTCTGTCGGACTAAAGAACACGACTCAGTGGAATATGAGTGTTCTTTCTGTGACAGAAAATGTGCTGCAGATGTTGAATCTGTTCTGCGTGTTTCAGTCGTGTTGAAGATGGTTCATGTGTAACTTTTTAGAGATTATAAGTCTGCAGGTCGTACACACAGACCGTACAGCAGTGCGGTTTCGTAGTTTACCAAAGTCATACTAAAACATTTTGGTAATATGGTAAAACCATATAACCCAGTAAAATCCTGAGAAGTTTTAACGGTATCAACATCTGGATATCGCCCAACCCTATAGAACACACACTGACACATTCTTACATATGAATCAGTGTGTGTATTTTATGTGTATTTTGTTATTTCACTTGACACTTTCCTTTGTTCTAATGCAGAGCTACAAGATCCACCAACAGAATGGAGTTCACATGTGACCAGTGTGGAAAGGTGTGTCCAAATGCTTCCGGACTGAAAATACACTACAGAATCCACACAGGAGAAAGACCATACAGCTGTGATCAGTGTGGGAATGAATTTACACAGTCTTCTTCACTCAAAGCACATATGAGAATCCACACACGAGAGAGACCGTACAGATGTGATGTTTGTGAAAAGACATTTTCAGAGTCAAGCAACCTTGTATCACATATGAGAGTCCACACTGGAGAGAGACCATATGAGTGTGACCAGTGTGGGAAGAAATTTAAACAGTCTGGTGCACTCACAGCACATATGACAATCCACACTGGGGAGAAATCATACAGATGTGAAGTTTGTGAAAAGACATTTTCACGGTTGGGCAACCTTGTATCACATATGAGAGTCCACACTGGAGAGAGACCATACAGATGTGAAGTTTGCGAAAAGACATTTTCAGAGTCGGGCAGCCTTGTATCACATATGAGAGTCCACACTGGAGAGAGACCATATGAGTGTGACCAGTGTGGGAAGAAATTTAAACAGTCTGGTGCACTCAAAGCACATATGACAATCCACACAGGGGAGAAATCATACAGATGTGAAGTTTGTGACAAGACATTTTCATGTTTGGGCAGCCTTGTATCACATATGAGAGTCCACACTGGAGAAAAACCATACAGATGTGAAGTTTGTGACAAGACATTTTCATGGTTGGGCAGCCTTGTATCACATATGAGAGTCCACACTGGAGAAAAACCATACAGATGTGAAGTTTGTGACAAGACATTTTCACGGTCGGACAGCCTTGTATCACATATGAGAGTCCACACTGGAGAAAAACCATACAGATGTGAAGTTTGTGACAAGACATTTTCACGGTCGGACAGCCTTGTATCACATATGAGAGTTCACACTGGAGAAAAACCATACAGCTGTGATCAGTGTGGGAAGGAATTTAGACACTCTTCTGCCCTCCATCACCATATGAGAGTCCACACACGAGAGAGACCATACAGATGTGAAGTTTGTGAAAAGACATTTTCAGAGTCAAGCAACCTTGTATCACATATGAGAGTCCACACTGGAGAGAGACCGTATGAGTGTGACCAGTGTGGGAAGAAATTTAAACAGTCTGGTGCACTCAAAGCACATATGACAATCCATACAAGGGAGAAATCATACAGATGTAAAGTTTGTGACAAGACATTTTCACGGTCGGACAGCCTTGTATCACATATGAGAGTCCACACTGGAGAGAGACCATAAGCTTTCACTCAATTATCCCATCTCAATAAACAAATGAGAATTCACTTCAAACACAGACTATATGAGTGTGACCAGTGTGAAAAGGCTTTTAGAACATCCCAGGAGCTCTCCACTCACTACAGAACGCACACAGGAGACGAATCAGACGACTGTGAACAAAAGGGGAAGGTTTTCAGGTCTGCGAGGAACCGTCTGAAACATGTCCAAATGTTCCAGACTGAAGAGAAAAGCTGCAGCTCTGACCAGTGTGGGACGACTTTGAGACAAGCTGCTCATCTGAAGCTGCACCGTCTTGAACACACTAAAGGAGAAAGAGCTGCTGAGGCCGGATCAAGTGAACCTAAAGTCAGACTCAAAAAGCTGGAGATCAGGCTTCAGAGACTCCAGACTGTGGAGTTGAGTTCTGTGTGGTGTCAAAAATAAACATAATTTTTAAGCTTGTAATTTTTTTAATTCCTTTTTTTTTTTTTTACAAGGAGGTTTTAGTTGAAGTTTGTCCTCCTTATTTTTTATTATATACAGTGTTGGGGAGTAACAGATTACATGTACCGGAGTTATGTAATCAGAGTACAAATTATGAGTAACTATATTCAGTTACAGTTACTGTTTCAGTGAGTGGTCATTGGATTACAGTTACTTTGTTGAAATAAATAGATTACACTGTGGTATTTTCCTGTTTTCACATTTTGGGCTATATCCCTTTTTTTTTTTCCTCCAGTAATTCCACTCATTGCCGGACACTAAACCAGGTCTAAACCAGGGCTAAACTAGGTCCAAACCAGGACTAAAACCAGGTCTAAACTGGGTCCAAACCAGGTCTATAGCAAGACTAAACCAGGATTAAACCAGGTCTAAACCATGTCTCAAAACAGGATTTAACAGGACTAAACCATGCCGTGCGGTCCGTGTCTCCTCGTCTTCTATCAATAATATTTTTAATTTGGTTCAGTAAAGTCTGGGCTTTTTATTTTCTTTTATCAAACAAAATATCTTATGTGAAGATTTCCTTGTCTTTGCTTCTCTTCAGCAAACCAAGTAATCCAAAGTATTCAGATTATGTTACTCACTTTTCACACAACCCAATTTAATGGGTTCCATTACAAGCTACATTTTGGTGTATGTAATCTGTAATCTGTAGGGGAATACATTTTAAAAGTCACCTTCCCAACACTGATTATATTGTTTTTAACTTTGAGCTTTTAGTCCCGCTTCACTGCAGTTCCCTAATCAGAGACGTACAAGTTGTATTTTGTTTTTTAAATTCTACTTTCTGAGGAGTGACTCTTGTTAGCAACTCATAACAGAGGATTATTCTTTTCATGGAGGCTGTGGTAAAAAAAAAAAATGAAATAAAATAAAGGAAAAGAGCAAATCAAGTCTACCTGTGTTTTCTTCCTTTTATTTTAGACCAGTTGTACATGCTTGTCTTGTCTTATGCCTCACTTACATATGGAGGCGCTTTAGAAATAAAACAAATAAATACACGCTCAGAAACTGTGAGCGTCTTTCACTTTGTTAATCAGAGGTGAGAGAAGGTTTGAAATTGTCTCTGAATTATTGTGGTGGATACCTCTGCCACCACTCTATAGTGTCAGTATTATTTAATTTCACTAATTAATTACATTACACGTAATTTAATTCCTTTATTGAGACTTATATTCTAATTTGAGTGCACACATTTTAGTTAATGTATGTCTAATTTACTTACACTTGTTCCTTTAGTTTTTTTTGAGCGCCGGACGGAGGACCCTGGGAGAGACCATCAGGACTCAGCAAAGGGGGGAGCACTATTTAGTTTGTTTTACTAAGGTAGTTTGTTTAGTTTGCTTTAAGGTCACTTTGTTATCACTGAATATTTTCTGTATTATAATTATTTGCCTTTTTGTTACTTTGATGAAGTTATTGGTTTAGTTAATTAATTAGTGTAATTCCTCCCTCGTGTGTAGTTTTAGTTGGTCCTCAATTATTTAAACACCCCTGTTCCTTTGTCTGGTTGGGTTAGTTTTGTTCTGTTCAGTTATCTATTTTATATATTATATTATATATTATATATATATATATATATATATATATATATATATATATACATATATATATATATATATATAATATAAGTTTGAGGGATTGGATCCCCAGCACTTCCACAACAAGACAGACTAACTAAATATAAAACTAACATGCATTAAAAAATATAATAAAAAAAAAAGTATATATTATTATAATAATAATAATAATTTAAAAAATATATATAAAAGACATATATATATATATATATATATATATATATATATATATATATATATATATATATATATAAAAAGGAGGTTGGGGGTTGGGGAGGGTGTGTGTAGTACAGAGTTTCTCAATGCAGTATCTGCATGTGTGTGTTCACATCTCTAAGGCTGTCAAGTCAAATCTACATTTACATATTTTCTATTCTCCTCCCATATTTTTCGTTCGTTTCTGGCCACACCATACAAACATTTACATACACATATATTTTAGCATTGTCCAACAATATGATATTCCCACTCTACTGTGCTTTGTCCAGATGGGGTTCCGCCACAGTCCATAGGTCAACAGTGTGCCTGTTCTTTGCGTCCAACAACTGAGCAACTGCTCCATACAAATCAAATCCAAAACATCCCCGTACCAACTGTCTATGTCAAAGCACTTATATTTACGTTCCTTCCAGTTCATCATAATAATAAGTTCAGCTGATAAAAAACCCAGTGAAAATATGTGGTCCAATTTTTGGGATGACAAATCTTGAGTTCTTATTCCAAACGGGCACAGCAACGGGCATGGAGAAATCTGCACATCAAACATACAGATATATATATATATATATATATATATACATACATAAGACAGACGATCCATTACAATGCTCCAATATTGTTTCACTTCAGGGCAATGCCACAGCATGTGCATGAGTGTGCCCTCTGCCCCACAACCATGCCAACAAAGTTTAGATTATTTGGTATCCATTTTGTTTAGTATATGTGGTGTTATATAAACTCGATGTAATAATTTGAGCTGCAAAATTTGATATCTCACACATTTAGAAATTTTGGTAGAGTTCAGTTGTTCAGTTTGATTTTGAGTTACCCCAGTTGGGCCTGGTTTTTTTGTTAATAATTTGCCTAATTTGAGCATTTATTAAATTTAAACTTATTTTTATATCTTGTCTTTGCCTTTCTGTTTGGTCCACTACAATGACACAGAAAATGCATCAAAAGCTTTTTTTTTTTTACACTTAATCCATGTCCTGATACAGAGTTTGTTTCTTCAGAAGTGGCATGAAGCAAAATGAGTAGTTTTGTGTCTTAACAGTAGTAACTAGATGAGCTTGTCTAATTTCTCCAAGAAACTCATACTCCGAATTAATGGGCTCATATTACACTGTTTTATGATCTGTGCTACAATGTCATTTCCTCAAAATACAGAAAGTGCTCCACTGTGTTTTTAAACTCCACACACCTTCACTAGAATCATTTGGATAATTTCTGCCCTGGAATTAATTTTTAAACTTATTCAGCACCATTTCTATTCAGTTAATGCTTAAGTTTTAGGGAAGTGCCTAAATCTGGTTGAAGCTGCACTGAAACTATTTTTTTTTTAAAAGTACATTTAGGGTCCTAAAACATTAAAAAATCAGACGTAAAACCATCATAGACAGAGTTCCCACTCTTTTTCACCAACAAAATTTCATCTTTCCCATGAATTTTTCATGACCAAATGTGAATTTTCCATGACTTTACATGTGTAGAATTGATCAGACTTTAAGAGCTAAATATGTTAACTCTTTCCATTCACCTTATGGTTTGGGATTATATTTTTTAACATTCAAAATCCTGTCAGTGCATTTATTGTCGTCTCTTTTTAACAAAAGGTACAGACGTTCAGAATAGCTTAATGAGAACTTAACAGAAAGCTGTAGTTGTGTGAAAGAGAGACTAAAATACATGCATCACAAATTTCAGACTTCCAGTCTTCACACAATGGATACTAGGAAGGATTTTCCGAAAAAAGTGAGCATCAAACCTTGTTTGTTTTCCCAGTGGGATGTGTCCATTGTCAAAGTCGATCTTTTCAAGTCTTTTGAACCATATCACTTTTGTTTCTGGTTCTGATATTGTCATATTTTAGTTTTGGGATTCGGACATCGTAATTGTGTGGTTGTTGGATCCTAACAGCGGAAAACAGCTCGAGAAATGGGCTTCAGAAGTTTGTGAACTCCATAAATGCAAAAGAGAATCAGATGTGTGTGACTGCAAACATCTGTTCAAACTGTTTCTCTTCCCAACGAAATTGAAAAATAGTGAAAGTTGAAGGTGATGGGCAGGATTGATCCACAGGAAGAACCAAAAAGGAAACATTTGACTGCCTAACAAATCATCCCGAGTTTGTAGCGAACATTTTGTATGTCGAGCGACATCAAAACAAAATCCCGTTTGTTAATGGAGAGGTGCAGAAGACAAACAGAGTGAGCTGCACTTTCTTGTTCTTGTGGTTTTACAGCAACATCACGTCTTGGTCTCTTTGCAGTGGAAGGTGTTTCTTGGCTGGAACCTTTCGCTTGTTAAATTCGTAACCGAGGTTGAGCGAGGGATTGGGATTTTGCTTTGTTGATGCTCCACATACAAAATGTTCGCTGCAAACTCAGGATGGGGCCGATGGTGCAGACTGGCAGCGACGCTTCTGTCAGTCTGTCCCCAGGGCAGCTGTGGCTACAATAGTAGCTTACCACCACTGGTTATGGACTGACTGAATAATGCTCTGTAAAGCGTCTTTGTGACATATGTCTGTGAAAAGTACTATATAAATAAAAACTTATTTACTTACCGTATTTTCCGAGCTATTAGACGCGCTCTTAAGCCTCTAACCGCATCAAAAAATGACTGCGCGCCACAATCCAGAGCGCCCTGTACACGAATCCACTCGGGCGTCCCAGCACGACTTCAGTAAACTACAAAGCCGCACCACCCTCAGAACACGCAAACACACACAGAGCAGACAGCGACCGCACAGCGAAAAACACCCACAGACACACTCATCACTCCACGCCGACGAGGAACGGAACGGAGGAACGAACCGAAAAAGCGAGTGCAACGTGCCGCTTCTAGACACAACTGAACAACTGAGTCACTGCGAACACGCCGACAATCCAGCGATCCCAGACAGCACCCTCCCTACACGCCACAACTGAACAAAGCCCAGAGTCACCGTGAACGAACAAACAAACAAAACCACTCACCCATCACACTGTTGTGTTTGCAGTGCAGTTTATTTGTGAAAAAAGTTCCAAAATAGACCATTTATTGACAGTGCGCCTTATAATCCAGAGCGCTTAATAGTGTGGAAAATACGGTACTTAAATATAGCAAAAAATAATCAACAGTTTGTAACATGATACTGTGCAGCCGTCCTGTCTCGCCTCACTCCCGTTTGTGAATGGAGGGAGAGGTGCAACTTGTACAAAACGTTATAATGCACGCAATTGGCCGACTCAATCTCACGAGTGCTGCACAAGCGAGTGGTGCGTTCACTGACATGCAGTAGTAAGGATATTTATTATTGACCGCAGTTAGACGTATTTTAAACCTGGTGCACGAGTACAATAATAATAGTTTCCCTTAAATAATTTAATAGATATTTAAGAAAATACACAAAAAATAAGTCTACAAACAGAACAAACTGACCTGACCGACTCTTTAAATGAAGCCTGTGTTTTGTTCCAGGAGCTGATCGCCTTCGAAGTCAGTAATATCTTCGGAGCTTCGTTCAAATCTTTTGCGGCGAGTACGGCTCTGTCCAGGAGCGCCGTCCAGGAGAGCACCGGCGGGAAGACGCAGGTCGCAGGTTTACTGTCCGCCATTATCGTGATGGTGGTCACTGTGGCCATAGGGTTTCTACTGGAGCCTCTGCCAAAGGTAACACAACATCTGAGTTACAGAACTGGGGACATATACACACACACATCATGAACAGAACCATGTTTAATTATACATGCGGCAGCTCTACTTCACCGTACAGGCTTTTACTTTATGACCAAAACTACTTCAATGCAGCTTTAATTTGAAATATTATTTAATTAGTGGCGTGTTCTGATTAAAATAAAAAGGAAACTCCTCAAGGAAAAAACGACATTAACTGTGTGTTTCTGAACCAGCTCATTTTATTTGCAGCCTGTTAGTGTCACTCACTTGTGCACCAGCAGCAGAGGCTCTACTGCCCTCTGCTGGACATTTGAGTCTGTAACAATCAGGACCCAGTGACCCTTAGTTTATTCTTACATAATACAGGGACATTTAAAATGAAGATATTTACTGCCATGTTTTAGTATAAACATTACCTCTGTGTCCTGTGTTCCAGTCTGTGTTGGGGGCCGTGGTGATCGTGAATCTTAAAGGGATGCTGATGCAGGTCAGAGAGGTGCCGTATCTGTGGAGACGAGACAAACCAGACTGTGTAAGAAAATATATTTAAAATTCAGATTGCAAAAAAGAGGTGTTTATCTTCAATAAAGATGAATTGTTTTTATCAACTCAAAGTCAATTTTCAGTTTCACACTTTAGAGCATTTAGAGAAAAAGAAAGTTTTCATTATTTTAATGATTTGATTGTTTGTTTGTGTTCAGGTGGTGTGGGTCGGGACCTGTGTGGCGTCCATCTTGCTCGGTCTGGATCTGGGTTTAGGGGTTGGTCTGGGTATAGAACTCATCAGTGTGGTTCTCCGAACGCAGTTGTCAGTCTCTTTTATAATTATCATGTTATTATATTAAATCATCTTTATAAACCTGTTTTTAACCTGTGCCTGTGTCCTCAGCCCTCGCTGCTCTGTGCTCGCCAACATTAAAGGCACCGACATCTACAAAGACAAGGACTACCTCGATGTGAGTGTTGTGCTTTAAAGCTGCACTATGTCACTTTTAAAGTATAAACCTATGTTCATAAATATACAAGCTGTACGTACTTGTATCAACACTTGCTCAGGCTTCAGTCTGGTGAAGTGACAGAAAAGCTCAACTCTGATCACACCTCAATCTGCTGGACTAAACTGTCCACTGTGGAAACATATAAGACATACAGTGTTCAACATAAATGAGTACAAGCTCTTTGAAAAGTCACATTTTATGTCAATGAACACAAAAATATTTGCAAAATGTGCATAGGCAGAGTCACAGATCATCACAGCGTCAGTGTTTCAGCAGAAGCCACTAATTAATATGATACATTAATAAATAGTTAAATAATAAGAATTATCTTTATTACCATTATAATCATAAGTGATTAGTTATTAAGGCATAATTAAATCATATTTATAAGAAAAGGTCTCTGGCTCAAAATTTGATCTCAGGCTAGAGGAAGAAAACAAACCTTAAACAATTTAAAACCGTGTGTCGTTCATTCATTCATTTTTCAATAGAAAACCAAAAATAAGAAAATGAAAGCACAACTATTTTCTTCATTATTTGTTTCCAAAACAAAAATGAAAAAATTTATATCGATTAGTTATTTCATTTTTCGATTTTGTGTTTAAATCAATAATGGAAAAAACAGATAACGGCCGTTTCCCGTACTGAACCAGGACTGAAACAGGACTAAAACAGATCTGGTCCCGGTCTGAGTCCTGATCTTGTCCCGGTCTCAGTTCTGGTCTGGTCCCGCAGTTTCGTTGCAGAGTCATTGAGCTGCTGCATGAACCGTGTAAACGCGTTATTAGCATTTACAAATGATCAGCGCGTCCATAAACTTGTGAGGGTTCTCCCTGCTCCTCCTACCCCTCTCCCTGCTCCCTCTCTCTGTATTTACTTACCTTGTTTGGCATTTCCTGGGCGGGCCCCAATCATGCACCTGCTGAGCTCCACTCCTGTTCTTCATCAAGTAATCATCTCCTACAATAAAAGACCTGCTGACCTGCTCTCCAGTGCCAGATCGTTCCGTCATCCCAGTGGTGAACTACTCAGGCTTTTTAAGATTTTTGAGAATTCCAGTGACCTTTTGATGCTTACCTGTTTTTTTATCCCATCCCCAGCACTTCATTTGGAGCCAGCCTCATCCCGTACCCACCAGTTTCTGTAAGCCCCCGGTCAGCCTCCATCTCCACAGACCTCCCATCTGCAGCCAACCCGGACCCGTCCTGCCTCCCCTGGAATCTATTCCCCCGCCAAGACTATTTTTGTAATAAAATACTTTTTCCCTCTGCATATTTGGGTCCGACCAGTGATTCCTAACAGAACGATCTGGCCAAACAATGGACCCAGCAGAACCCAACGAGTTGGAGAAGATCGTTGCCACCCAAGGAAATTTACTTGGCCAGCACCACAAGTCACTACAGGACCTCAAGGAATCAAATCAAAATCTCGGACTCCAAGTCTCAAACTTAACCAGGTTGGTGGAGCACCTTTCAAATCAACTCTCAGCCCAGAATCTCTCTCAACCCAGTAACCCCACTTCCATTGCTGCCTCTGCTGCTGCCCCTGCTGGTGCCTCCGCTGTACACCCTCAACGTGAAACTCCAGTTCCTCATCCTGAGCCATACAATGGGGACCTGGGTAAGAGTAAAGGCTTTCTCTTGCAGTGTATGACTGTTTTTCACCTGCCAGCCTTTGACATTTTCGACCGACCAGTCCAAGGTAGCCTTTATTACGGGGTTGTTACGTGGAAGAGCCCTTGACTGGGCCGAGGCTGTGTTGGGTGGCAGGGGCATTGAGAGTATCAGTTATTCTGAATTTTTTGCGAACTTTAAAAGAGTTTTTGCACACGCAGATTGTGAGGCGAATGCTGCCAAGGGGCTTCTAGATCTCCACCAGGGAAACAAGAGTGTGGCAGACTACTCCATTCAATTACGGATCTTGGCTGAGGAATCAGGGTGGAATGAAACTGCCTTAAAGGGAGTATTTTGGCGAGGGTTACGTGACACTTTAAAGGATGAACTATCAGTCCGTGATGATCCCGTCTCTCTGGAGGAATTAATCTCTCACTCTATTCGTATCGACAACAGGCTGCGCGAGCGGAAACGAGAGAGAATCCCTCATACTACATCCTCCGTGCCTCGCTCCTCACCTCCAGCCCTAATTCAGACTGGTAATTTTCCTCCTCTGCCCCCTGCTCCACAATCCCCAGAGGTTCCTATGCAAATTGGCCGGGCCAAGTTGTCTGTCCAGGAGCGGTCATGGAGAATTCGAGCTGGCGAGTGCTTGTACTGCGGTCAAGGTGGCCATTTTCTCATTCATTGTCCTGTCCGTCCAAAAGAGCCCGCTCATCAGTAATGGGGGCGAGGTTTCTAAAATCCCCACTGACCAACCCAGACTCCTGTTACCCACAACCCTGTGTCATAATAACCAGTCACTTCCCCTTCAAGCACTACTGGACTCCGGGGCAGAGCAGAACTTCATGGACTCTAATTTGATCTTGCAGGTGGGGATCTCCACTGAGCCTCTTCCAGAGCCAATCCAGGTCAGTGCTTTGAATGGTACCGTTCTAGCTAAAATTACTCCCCACACTGTTCCTCTCCACTTACTTCTGTCTGGCAACCATCATGAAGAGACACGTTTCTTTGTTTTCTCTGCTCCCCTGACTCTATTAGTGTTGGGCTACTCTTGGCTCAAGATTCATAATCCAGTGATTGACTGGTCTCTCAATAAGATTGTCAGCTGGAGCTTATTTTGTCACCAGTCTTGTTTGCAGTCAGCTCTCCCTCCATCTGAAAAGATTAACTCCAAGCAACCTGTATCTACTCCGGATTTAACCTCATTACCATGACCTAGGTGAGGTCTTCAGTAAGGAGAAGGCGCTATCCTTACCACCACACAGGCCCTATGACTGTGCCATAGACCTTCTTCCCGGAGCTCATCTTCCACCTGCTCGCCTGTACAACCTGTCCCGACCTGAAAGAGAGGCCATGGAGACATGCATCAGAGACTCTCTAGCTGCCGGCATTATCCGTCCATCTTCTCCGGTGGGGGCTGGTTTCTTCTTTGTTGCCAAGAAGGACCAGACTTTACGACCATGCATTGACTAGAGGTTTGAACAAGTATCCCTTGCCCCTTATCTCGTCTGCCTTTGAACCTTTGCAGGGTGCCACCCTTTTCACCAAACTGGATTTGCGCAATGCATACCATCTTGTCCGCATCAGAGAAGGAGACGAATGGAAGACAGCCTTCAACACACCTCTGGGACATTTTGAATACTGCGTCATGCCATTTGGTCTCACTAATGCTCCAGCCGTGTTTCAAGCTCTGGTAAACGATGTCCTTCGGGACTTTCTTAACCGCTTTGTTTTCATCTACCTGGACGATATTCTGATTTTTTTCCAGAGACCCTTTGGAACATCGCCAACATGTCCGCCAAGTCTTACAAAGGCTTCTTGAAAATAAACTATTTGTGAAGAGTGAGAAATGTGAGTTCCATGCTAGTTCTGTCTCATTTTTGGGTTTTGTAATTGAAGGTGGACAAGTTAAGGCTGACCCAACGAAGATCAAGGCGGTCTCGGAGTGGCCCCCTCCCTGTAATCGCAAACAACTACAAAGGTTTCTCGGCTTTGCCAACTTTTACAGGAGATTCACTCGAGATTACAGCAAGGTTGCGCTTCCTCTCACCCGTCTAACTTCCACGAAACTCCCATTCCAATGGACTCCGGAGGCAGACTATGCTTTCAATAAGCTTAAGAGGCTATTCACTACAGCTCCCGTCCTGATTCATCCTGACCCATCAAAGCAGTTTATTGTTGAGGTTGATGCCTCAGATGTGGGAGTCGGAGCTGTACTCTCCCAGCGCTCTGACTCAGATTTTCGACTCCACCCCTGTGCTTTCTTTTCCAGGCGGCTAGATCCTGCTGAACGTAACTATGATGTCGGCAACAGGGAACTCTTAGCCATCAAACTCGCACTTGAAGAGTGGAGACATTGGCTGGAAGGAGCAGAGCAGCCCGTCGTTGTATGGACTGATCACAAGAATTTGGCCTACATCCAGTCTAAGAGGCTAAACTCACGCTAAGCCAGGTGGGCTTTGTTTTTTGGGAGGTTCAAGTTCTCAATTACGTACCGCCCTGGTTCCAAGAATATAAAACCCGATGCACTCTCTCGCCAGTTTGACCCTTCTGAGCAGTCTGATCCCGAGACCATTGTTCCTGTTAATTGTGTTCTTGGAGCTCTCTGTTGGCAGGTAGAAGCAAACGTGAAAAAGGCGCAGGAGGCAGAGCCCAATCCAGGAGGTGGACCACTCAACAGACTCTATGTTCCTTCCACTGTACGCAGTGAGGTCTTGCAGTGGTCCCAAAACTCCTTTTTTGCCTGTCATCCTGGGGTACAACGCACGTTGTCTAGCCTCAGGCGTCATTTTTGGTGGCCTACTATGGATTCTGACACTCGAAGTTTTGTTTCTGCTTTGTCTCCGCTCTCCTCTCCACAGAAGGGTTACCTGAACATGTCTCCTGAGCCGTACACAGAGGTGGACGGCGAGGACAGTGTGGAGGAGCTGGACCTGCCCACAGACCTGAAGGACCTGCCCATTCAGGTGGACTGGAGAGGGGAGCTGCCCGTCAACGTGAACGTGCCCCCGGTGGATCTGCACAGCCTGGTCCTGGACTTCGCCGCTGTGTCCTTCCTCGACGTCTCCGCCCTGAAGGGACTCAAAACGGTGCGTGGGTCAATATTATTACTTTTACTTGGTTGTTAAAGCTGATCTATGACGCAAAATGGACTTTTCAGAGCTTTTAACTACGTTATTGTTGTTTCCTTCTTTTACCCTCTTGAAGTTGTATTTGGAGTGATTCCTGCAACTAATTTTTAAAACGCTATGTTGCCAATCTACCCCGTTTTCACCGCCCCCAGTACGTCCACCGCTCTGTACTTCATTCTACAAGTTTTCCTATTGGTAAAAAATAAATAAAAATGCTCTGCTCTAGTGGGTCCGTGTACTATTAGTTCTTTTGAATTTCAATTAAGAACAAAAAACAATAAAATCGGAAAACAGTTTGTTGTTTCATTGTTCCATTTTAGTGTCAAACAAGATTTCTCTATTTCCAGTATTTCATTAAAAATTTATTTCAACTAACACCAGTCGGAAAACTGTCGCTCTGGTTTATTTGCTCTGGAAGTTCTGCTACCAGGACGACTTACTGTATTTTTTGGACAATAAGTCGCACTTTTAAGGGGAAATTGATTTTATAAAATCAGAGACCAGGAACTGACATTTCCTGTGTAAAGTCAAGTTGTAGTAAAAACAATAGAAGAGAGAACAACAGACTGTTAACGTCACATATGAACAGTTCTTCAGATAAACTATAACATAAACAATAGAACAGAACAAGTTTAACAAACTCTCCATCTCACTCCAAATCACTAAATCCATTC